AATTATTCTAAAGAGACATTTAATTCAAACCTTAGGAATGCTTCGTTATATAATCCTCCTCCACAATCTCAAAATCATGTGAACATATTTAAAGATATGGTATTGAAAGATCTCGCTGCGATTAAAATTAAGGATAATTACAAATATGATAATACAAGAATGGCTATAGATTCCCTTTTGAAGAAAAAGGATCTAGTCATACGTCCGGCTGATAAGGGTGGAGGTGTAGTAGTATTGAACAAAAAGGATTATATACAAGAGGTATACAATATATTGAGTGATAAAAATACATATCATCTGTTACAGAGTGACCCTTTAAAACAGTATAAGAAATCTCTTAAATCTCTCATTAAACAGGGATTTGATGATCATATCTTAAATAAAAAAGAGAGAGATTTTTTATGCCCCACCTGTCCAAGATTGCCTATTATGTATATACTCCCTAAAATGCACAAAAGCCTTACACATCCCCCGGGGAGACCAATCATTAGTGGGATAGGCTCTTTATGTTCAAAGGTAGGACAATATATAGACCATTTTTTACAGCCTTTGGTTACTAAAACTCCTTCCTACCTTAGGGACACTAAGCAGGTCCTTCAAGACATTAAGAATTTAACCACAGAACCTTCCACAATTTTGGTGACGGCAGATGTCGCATCATTATATTCGAATATTAAACATGATGACGGTATGCAAGCGGTTGAATTTTATTTGAAGGATCTTAATGAAATGCCTGCCTCACAGAAAGTTTTTATTTTTGGATCTTTTACAGTTCGCAATGACCAAAAACTATTTTTGGTTTGACGGTAAATTTTATCTGCAGACCACTGGTGTTGCGATGGGAGCGAAGTTCGCTCCCAGCCTGGCCAATTTATTTATGGCCAGGTGGGAGGAAGACATTATTTTATTCCCGCGACTGGCCTGAGTTATATTTTTATAGAAGGTACATTGATGATATTTTATTAATTTGGAAAGGGGACGAGCAGGCGCTTATTAACTTTTTCATTACTTTGAATAATAACACACACAAAATATATTAAATTGACTTATGAAATATAGCACAGCGAGTATCAACTTTTTAGATTTAAACACTAATAAATTATGAACGGTCCATCATTACTAAATCTTTTTTTAAGCAAACGGGACCGTAATGGCTATATTCCGGTTGATAGCTGCCACCACCCGGCATGGCTCTCTAACATTCCTAAGGGCCAGTTTCTGAGGATCCGTCGTAACTGTACAAATCTTGAAACGTATTTTGCCCAAGCAGATATATTGAAAGAGAGATTCATCGAAAAAGGTTATGATGAATCCTCACTCACACATGCACTTTAACATCGGTTTGCCAATATGAATAGAGATTTGATGTTTAGTAATAATATGGGACAGCAATCTACTAAAATAATGTCCGTTTGTCACAACTTTTTCGAGCCAGTACAAAAGTGTCACAAAGATTATTAGGAATAATTGGAAAATTCTTATGGCAGACCCAATGCTTACTAAAAATCTTACCTTCTAGACCGGAAATTACATTTAGAAGAGCCATTTCTTTGAGAAATTAGAATAGCGCGCCTAATGTAATTAACCCTCCTTCTAAGATCCAGCTTTTTAATAGCTTAGTGGGTTTTCTTTCCATGTAATAAATGCGTAATCTGCACTTGTAGTAGCTATAGAAAAAGGAGAATTGATCAATTTGCCTCTACATCTACTAATAAGCGATATGACATTAGGAGTTTTTTATATCATGTAATACTAGATATGTGGTATATTTACTCCAATGTCCGTGTTCTAAACAATACATAGGCCGCACTACAAGAAGGTTGCGAGACCGTCTAAGGGAACACGTTTACAAATATAAAAACGTGGATTTAAGGAACACTCTCTTTCAAAGCACTATATAGGCTTTGCCATAATAGAGACCCATCATCGCTCAAATTTACAGCCATAGATGTTGTACATCACCATTGGAGGGGTATTAATAAGAAAAAAAGCTGTTTCTCAACTGGAGACAAAGTGGATATATTTGAGATGGGATCCATGCATCCCAGAGGGTTAAACGTTGATATAGATATCAACTGTTTTATAGACAATAGCTGAAATTTTGGATTATGTTTTTTATCTCCAACTTTATCTCCACTTTTTATCTCCATTTTTTATCTCCATTTTTCCTATTCGTATAGATTTAAAGACCTCTATGTTCCCTCTGTGTACCTTTTATATTATATTTTACCCTTTGATTCTTCACATATACATATGTATGTACATATGTATATGTATGGTTTTTGGTCATTGTGATTTTTAATATTTTTAATATTTTTAATATTTTAATATTTTTTTATATAATTTTTTTTATATTTTTGTTATACATCTTTAAATAACTAATATAGAGTATTTTTAGGACATTATGCATATTTTGGTTACGATTTTATTAAAGATTCATATTCTGTATGCATATACCATGACATGTATTAATTATAGTTTTAAGAGATGTGTTATGAAGTCATTATTGAGTTTATTTATATCCAGTGTTGTTTAGAATGTGTGTGTCATCAACATCACCAAGATTTACCTACAATGAGTTTATATAATACTCTATGTTTTGATGAGGAGCTTATAACACTACATTTATTCCAAATTGATCCCGCACATGCGCAGTGGTTCGTCTGCGACGGCATTTATCTTTTACTTATTCGCATTTATATTGACGGACCTTAGAGTTTGGGAAGCTCTGGCACCGCTTATTGAAGTTTTATGTGAATTTTTGGGGTATTTTTCTTATGTTCATTGTAAGTTTCCCTGGTGATTCAGTGACACTCACAGATGATTGTAAAAAAATGGCGCCCGCGCATGTGAGATCGTATTGGTCTCCGGCAATATGGCGCCTGATATGGAGACATATCCCTCATGAAAAATGGCGCGGTCGGTCGTAATGCGCATGCGCCATTTACGGTTTATAATGGACGCTGTCAAACAAGGACGCTGAAGCTTATTCCCTTTTTGATGATGTGCGGTTAGCACGAAACGCGTCAGGGTAGGAGCTACAGCGTCATTATCCTTTTGCCGCCGGCACCATGGAGGTCCCGGCGGCCATCTTTTAATCCACCTCATGGTCAGTGTTTGTTTTATTCATTTATCCCCACCCATGTATTACTGCTTAGAATAAAATCTTTTAAACGGTATTACGCTATTGGTCTCCTTTCTTTGTGGCCCTTGGTGAGTCACTTATCACCTGTAGAGCCATCTTTGAGAGAGACTGTGGATTATCAGCAACATCCAGCGGGTGGAGGAATATCTGGTTTGACCTGACCTAAAGAGCTATCAGTGGATCTTTCAGAGATAATTTATCTCTAAACGCGCAGTTACGCTGTGCATCTGGTGAGTGCACAGCCTTATCCTTTTCACGTTCACCGCATGGAATCAGCACTTTGAAGGAGAGAAATTACCACAAAGACTGTGTTTGCACTGCATGTTACTCTGCTTACTGTTCAGGATCACAGTAGTCACCTATGATCACTATATTGACACCTTGGATAATTTGCATTATTTCTCATTACTTGTGATATAGCGCCGCATCTTTTATATTATATGCTTTTATAAGGTTTATTGGTATCCTTTTTGATGCTGTGGCTGCTTTAGTTTTCTAGCGCTCGCAACTTCTTTTACATTTGCTTAGGTTATCATAGCAGCATGTTTTAGGCAGCTACAGAAAACAGTTTTTTTTCCTTTTAGGATAAAGATTATACATAAATGAATAAAAGCGGACCATTGTAAGCAGCCCTGACAGTGGTAAATGGTTTGTCTCAACATCTTAAATGCCACTTGCGCTGGACAGCTTGATCTGTTAAAGCAAGTTGAAAGATAGCAGACTTACTGGTCGGATCACCAGGTGAAAAAGGAAGAAAAGCCTACAAAGGAAACCTAAGGTAGCCATCACATCTAGGAAATGGCAAGCTGCAATATTTGCTTTTCAATACCACTTTAATTAGTTGCTGACCACAGATAGCCGAATGACGGCTGCACTGTGGCCGTCCAGTTCTGGGAGGGTGTCATATGACGTCCTCCCAGAACGCGCTATCCTGCGCGCCCCCGGCGATCTCAGTGATCACTGTGTATACTACATCCACAACTGATCACGGGATATGGTAAAAGGCCAATCACAGCGGCCTTTTTACCATGTGATCAGCCATGTCCAATGACACGCTGATCACTGGGAAATGCAATTGCCGGTTCTCGGCTGCACTCTCCCTTGTCAGAGCGTGAGGAAAGTACTGCCGAGCACCAACAGTTGTCAGAGCAGGGATCGGCACCGATCATCAGGGCACGGATGATCAATGCCATGATGATCGGGGCCCAGCAGTACCACCCACCAGTACCCAGCAGTGCCACTCACCAGTGTACAGCAGTGCCAACCACCAGTGCCACCCAGCAGTGCCGCCTCATCAACGCACATCAGTGAATGAGAAAAAATTACCCGTTTGCAAAATTTAGAATAGAAACACTTTTTTTTTTTTATTGCTTTTTTTTTTTTTTATAGCGCAAAAAGTAAAAAACACCCAGTGCCAAGTAAATACCACCAAAAGAAAGCTCTATTTGTGAGAAAAAAAAATTTATAAAAAATTTCATTTGGGTACAGTGTTGCATGACCGTGCAAATTGTCATTCAAAGTGCGACAGCGCTGAAAGCTGAAAATTGGCCTGGTAAGGAAGAGGGTAAAAGTGCCCAGTAGGCAAATGGTTAAAGAAACAACGTCAGCCTGCTCATTCAGCAAAAAGTGACAGTGTCTCTGCAAAGGGCATCCCCGGACCACTTATTGGCTCACCTTACTTGTGCTCCCTTGCAACTCCTTCCTCCTTTGCAGTTGACACTGAAATCAAGGGGCAACGTCACTCACCCAGTCATAAGACAGGATCCATGACTGGATGCTAGCTATTAGACCCGGCACAACATAGCTGGGAGATTTCACAATCTCCATATAAAAAAAAAAAAAAAAAAATCCATACCGGTCCCAGACTATCATCCAATTTGTGCTTAGCACTCGGTTTCTGTGGGCTAAGGATAGAGATCATTTCTTTCTTCATTTGCTGCAGTACTTTCTTCAGTTCTGCATTCTCCAGCATCAGCTGCTTCTGCCGCTGTTCATAATCACTCAGCAGAACTTTGTACATCTCCTCTTCATTTCTTAAAGCACAAAACACATCATTTGTACAGTGTACTGCATATATTTTCCCACCAGTATTCCATTTACAAACTGCAATACGTACTTGCCCTAAGTTTTTTAGGCAAACAGCTGTCATTTTACCTATATTAAACAGAGATACATTTCCTTTTTTTTTTTTTTTTTTTTTTTTTTTTAACAGTGTTTCAGTAAGAGAAAAACTGCTGCCATGCAAGTGTTTGTATAACTAATACAATTACGCTCAGTCAGGCCCTGATTTTTCTACTCACTTGGCATCTGTTTTACTTGTTCTCCAAGCCATCCTTTTACCGTCAGCTCGGCCCACATAATTCAGCACATCGATGGCTGCAGGATCAGAATAAAAACAAAAAAAAAAAAAGTCTGTAAGCAGGGTGGTTCAGCCACCAATTCAGGACTCATTTACTAACAATGACCTTAAAAATTGTATAGAAGGGCATGAAAAAAAATAAAAAAATACAATATTGTTCTGTGCATCTCTGCAGTACTTGCACATTTAATTGCATTATCCCTGTAGTAAAAGTGCAGCTCATCCAAAAGGGTTTTTACCAATCCCCAACCTCACATGTGAACAAGCCTTTGGACCTAGACATAAGCTTTAAGTGGTTGTAAAGGTAAACATTTCTGTACCTTAACGAATTCTCTGCATTAAAGTGGGAGTAAAATCCTTTCTTTGCTTTGTATCTACAGGTAAGCCTGTAATAAGCCTCAATGAATATCTCCTAACCATGCATCGTTTAGGACCTATTTACATGTGAAGCAGCCGATGACATCACTGGTGCATGTGCAGTGTGCGCTCAATGGACAGCATGTTGTCTATTGAGAGAACTGTGCCGCCGTGGCCATGACTACTGTGCATGCAGTTTGCTATGGGGGCATTCAGAGAAGAGAAGCCAAGACCGCCAGCAGCAACCCCAGAAAAAGGGAGGTTCGGGGCCACTCTGTGCAAAACCATAGCACAGAGCAGGTAAGTATGACATGTTTGTTAGTTAAAAAAGAAAAACATTAAACTTTACAAGCACTTTAAGTTACAAGTATATCTTAAGGTGACATTTCACCAAGCAACTCTTCCTCATATCACATTGGTAGGGTGACACTCACAGATTTTTTTGTCTTTCTTGTCCATTACTAGCTGGTACAACCGTTCCTTCAGCTTGTTGTACTCTCTCTCCTTCCTCTTCATGTTGTGGTTGTGCTGTGTGGGAGCGGCTGGTAATGATGTTCTGTAATTTCTGAACCTACAAAGACAAGTATAAAATGGCTTTTAATAAATGCAAACATAAATAAACATAAAACTCCCACTAAGAAACATAAATAAACAGCGCAAAAATAGATCTCTAAATCCAATCAAAAAAAATTATTATATAAGAGTGCAAAATAAATATATCATAAAAACCATGAATTAATAGTGAATATCCCCAGTAGTATTAATATTAAACACCAAAGGTCCGTGCATGTGATGTTGGTTTGCACGGGTGGAAGGTGGAAGTTTTCCTTGTATTTGAAGAATTTTTGGAACTTCTGATTTTTATTATGCACGGACTGTTGGTGTTTAATATTAATACTACTGGGGATATTCAACCAATTCATGGTTTATGATATATTTTGCACTTTATATAATAATTTTTTTTTGATTGGATTTAGAGATCTACTTTTGCGCTGTTTATTTATGTTTCTTATTGTTTGTGTTTTTTCACATTTGCACAGCAGCAGTTTAGATTTTGTAGTTTTGTGGCGCAGGAATAATTTTTATATAAAAATTTTTTTGATATAAAACTCCCACTGCCTCATTCCCGGTCACATCACGAGTAGTCCACATTACAGTAGTTCCCTTCAATGGTGATACATCCAACAATGAAACACATTTCTTTGTACAATGGTGAAGAGCCAGAACGAATGTCAGCTTTTACTACGGTCTGATTTTCCATTTAAAAATTCCCCTACATTTCTTACCAAGTAATAGGGTAAGGCAGCCCATAGAGAAGTCAAAAAAAAAAAACATTCTGTCGATCGAAAAAATCAAAGTGGAGCATGCAAAACAAAACCCAGCATGTTGGATCAAACACTTTCGATTAAGACAATGAAAAATTGTGCATCACAGCTGGCACACTAATGATGCGAAAAATGAGCGCGAACAATCATTTTCAGTCATTTGTTAACTCTTATCTATGGCCTACTTAAGTGAGGGAAAATCTCCCCAATTGTAAAGTGGACAAGCGATAACATTAGATCACAGACTAATGTATAAAGCAGAGTAGGAACATCTAATTGAGAATTATTTCATCCAGCAATGAATGCTGTGGAGGAGAAAAAAAAAAAATGTATGTACAAATTGGGAAATCCACCACATCTGTGATCAGTCAGCTCATGCTACAACATATCAAGCCTGATTCATCCAAAATTTGGCATCCAAGCTGAATCACGAAGACGGCAACAGCAGCTGCCACAAAAGAACTGCACCCCTTGCATGACTGCATCTTTCATCTCAAATATTTGCTATTCTTGGGGATTCCTGCTGCCCACAAATGCTGGAGATGGCCCATGCATGGCTAAAAGATCAGCAGAAAATATTCTAAGAAACAGTAGTCATAGGGTAGAAATTAAACTCAAGGAAAGGTCTTATAGATGCAAACTAAAACTGAAATGAAGAACAGGCCTCTAAATGATGTAACAATCATTTATGTTACAGACTCACATGGGCCATTTATCTGGGCGAGGAAGCATACACCCCATGAATGTGTGGAAAGGAGAAAAGGAAAGTATATTTACTTATAGTCACTCATGCTAAACACACGATGTCTCTGCTTTGTTTTAGAATCAGCAATGGTAAAGAGCACAGATGGGAACACAAGTCTTTGGCTAAGAAATTGCTGGCTAGAATTCCTGGAGACCCCCATAAACTACTCAAGCCACGACACCTCACTCACCTCCTCTTTCTCATTCTTCAGCAGCTGCAGGAGGTTGTTATTTTTGCACTGCTGCTGTCGTTCTTTTTCCAAAAGAGCAGCGTTCTCTCGTTTAATCACTTCAAGCTGATCCTAGAACATTTAGGAACACTTTTTTAAAAAAGGAAACCTTGAGATTTTTCTTTAGTTTTACAAATGCACATGAATTTGATCAAACATCTACTGTATGTGTACTTTGTAATTATGTGTATGTGAGATATTATGTTTGATTCTCACATATATAAATGAAGCTTCATGCTTTTTAGAGCTGCACTGAAGCATATAATGCTTGAATGGTGTTTTCCAATCCTTGCATCCAAGTCTATCAGTTAGCTTAAAGAAGAAGCAGAAAAAAAAAAAAAAACCATGCCCCATGCAGCTTTTTCTTAAAGTGTATATAAACTGAAAAAAATAGATCTCTCTTATTTGATTATGGTCTGTTAAATATACCACTGAAAGCATTTTTATCTGTTTAACAAGTGCAAAAAAACAAACAAAAAACCCAAACCCAAAAACCATTGCAGTTCATCCAGCCAGAAATCCTGTAACCTAATACTACAACAGGGAGTTCCAAACTTTTTAACCAAAGAGTCAGTTTACTGCCGTTCAGATTTTAGGGGAGCCAGACTGTTGCCAGTGGAGTAGAAAATGGTGTCAGTGGGAAGACTAGTTACCCATCTTTGGTGTCAGGGGAAGAATAGTGCCCCATCATTGGTGTCAGTAGGAGGAACAGTGCCCTATTATTGGCGTTCATGGGAGGAATAGTGCCTCATATCAGTTGGCTCAAGGGCCAAATAAAGCAAGCGAAAAAGGAAGCATCCAGCCTGCAGATCACAGTTTGGGGACCACGGTCTAAAAGAATGCTCATGACCCATTCCAAAGTGGCTATCATGGCGGAATATTTCAGGGCTGTCAGTATCACGCCATTTAAGACAAGAGCTGCAGGCCACTCCCACATTCTTAGAGGATCATCAGCTAGTGAGGTCCACAGAGGTGCTCATTATCTAACATCCTGCAAGCAAGTGAGGGAACACCCTCTAGGGAACTCAACCACTGTGGAGCAGAAAGAGTTTACACGATCTGTGATCAGAGCCTTCCCCTTTCAAGGAGCTGAGCATGATTCAAATACGGTTGTGGCGTCAAATGTGTCGCAGAACATACAGGGGGGGGGGGGGGGGGGGGGTTGCAACAGAGCAGTGTCGCAACAGGACCTGATTAAAGAGGGAGAAGGCAACACACCAGAGGATGCCGGCTCCTAATAAATATGGACAAATCCCTATGTACTCACTGAAGGTGGTCAGGATGGGCAGGGGAGGCCCCAGCAGGGCATCTAGTGTAGCCTATACAATCTTCACCCCATTGGTGGGCATACCCCAACAGGAGTCAAGGACAGGCTTCAACCAGACAGGTACAGCACAGTCTCAGACCTGTGAAGTACTATGCAGCTAGCTATACACAGTACACTAGATGAATGGAGTGTGCCTTCAGCAGATCCCAGTGCCTGCAGGTTACATTACAGGCATGTGGAGAGTGGGAAGGGTTATGCTGGGCAGCACCAACAGCTTTGATTGGATGCCAGCGTCCAATCTCCTGAAGCTAACTACATAAAATTCTCCACCCAAATAAATTTATCATCAAAATGGTGGAAAAAAAAAAAAAAAAAAAAAAAAAAAAAAAAAAAAAGGGACAGGATGATATATTTAATTTTATATTTTATGAAGGTTGAGGAGATGGCAGGTGTCATATGACCAATGAAGATCGTATTTCTAAAGCTACATTTTCATAACTCTCACAGAATACCATACCATACACCTCATGGTTTTCCAGCATTCGATTTCTTGAACTCTCTTCTAAGCAACGAAAAGTATAAAAACTGCAATATTTCGGCATGACTAAACGGTTTACTGTAAAAAGGTGGCAATGTGTCAGCTAGATGTGGTTTGGTATGATATTCCATTCATATAGGAGATGCGAATTTGATGGCTGCTTGCTGATCAATCGCATGAGACATGTCATTTTAACTTCAGCCAGTTGCAGCTTTACACTTGGTGAAGTTGAGGAAAGTATTCCACTTACCTTAAGTTTGCTGTGATTATTCTGCAAATACTCAAAGTCACTATTTATTTTTAGAACTTGTGTTTCCACATCTTCTCTCCTCCGCAGATCTCTTGTGTGACGCTGAAGCAGCTCATGGATGCAGTTTAATATTGACACCACATGTAACCTTCTCCCGCTGCCATTCTTAGATATGGTTTGCAAGGACGGAAATCCCAGAGTCTTCAACTCCTGTTAAAAAAACAAAGCCAGTTTAGAACAAAGCCTTGAATAAAATGTGGCTTACTGTTTTACACCTCTGCAGGCATAGAAAGGTGGCCCAATCTGGCTCTACAGACAGAAATCTGGCCCAATGTGAACCTGCATTGTTGTAGAAAGACCTGTCAGTTTATTCGACAGCACAGTTTGCATGCTATTCTGCCACCATCCAATCTCTGGAGGGAGAATATTGCGGGCCATAGACAGAGATGAAAAACGACCGAAGATTGGGCTGGAAAAAAAAAAAAAATTTTCAGAAATCAGCGGATTTTTTTCGTGATTTTAGTGCGATTTTATCGGTCCTGCTGGAAAATAATCGGCCAAATTTGTCGTTCTGCTGATTTTCGCGGCAATGAAGGACAAATTTGCCGATCTTTTTCCGATATTTAAAAATGCGCATGAGCAGTGACATGAAAAGAAGAAAAGAAAAAAAAAAAAATAGAATAATGAGAAGAAAATAGAATATGAAGAAGAGGAATAGAAGAAATAGAATATGAAGAAGAAAAAAAAATTTCAGTCCAATTTATATTTGACATTTAAAAGTATAGCAACATTGTATCTATTTGTATCCGAATAGAAACATCTGTATCCAAAATGGATACAAATAGATACAATGTTGCAACTTTTTTTCTTCTGCATATATTCTATATCTTCTTCTTCTGCATATATTCTATTTCTTCTTCTTCTCCATATATTCTATTTCTTCTTCTTCTCCATATATTCTATTTCTTCTTCTTCTCCATATACTCTAGATCTTCTTCTTCTGCATATATTATAGATCTTCGTCTTCTGCATATATTCTAGATCTTCTTCTTCTGCATATATTCTATATAATTGCCGGCCGTAGACAGGACGAAAATCAGCCGACTTTTTACCAATAGTGGTAATGTCGGCTGATTGAACAACCGATTTTTCGATTTTCAAAAAAAAAAAAAAAAAAAACGGCCAGTTTTTTCCCCGTCTATGGCCTGCATAAAACCCCAAACTATAGCAGGGAAACCCTTAGATTAAATTTGTCTTAGTTTGCTGAATATATCCTTCTACACACGATAGCTGCTCTCAAATCAGAAAAGGGCCATTCACAATATTCATTTACACAACACAGGCACCGAAGGAAACAAGTGCCTGGCAAAAGGCTCTAGCCAACTGTGCAGAGTACAGTAATGCAAGTTCTCTTTTACAGTAGTTTCAAATAGTTTTAAAACAGAAAGACTTGAAATAACTCCCACAAAATCACACACTACATCTACCCTGAACATACTGCTCACATGCACAGCACTTGATTCTCTGTAATTCAATTATTCAGTCACCAAACATAGAAAGGCTTTGAAACGGTCTCCATGCAGACCAGGAAATCTTTACTAGTCATTGTCCTGTGGAACTTCCCACCATCAGATTGACATTAACACATGTAATGTTTCTAATGTAAAGCACTGAGGTGGAAGAGAGCCAGAGATCATTTTAAAATGATCATGGATGTGTAGACCGAAGAGGCTATAATGGGGTTCCTGGCAATGAATTCCTGCAGCATCACATGTTTGGGTCTGGGTGCTTAAACAAATTACTGGCTATATTGGTCTTATATGCAAGGATGAAGAACGAAAGCACTAGGAAAGTATGCCATATCCCCATGTGTATTTGATGAATGGAGCTTTCCATTAAATATCCAGCTTCATATCGGACTCCCATTTCCAGTATACGTTGGTGTCGTTTGCAATGCACCAAGACCCTTCGCTCACCTGATCAAGATATGCTACACATTGTTCTACATTGTCCTCATTGCAGAAATCTGAATCTTGAGAGGATTTGCCTATGTTGAGTGTAGACTGCAGAAAGCTTGGAGATGATATTCTGGGTTCAGAGTTATACCGAGAAATTATTCTGGTTCCTTGGGGGAAAAAAAAAAAAGGAAAAAAACAGAACCAATAAAAATGTTGAAAAGTGAATCAAACCCTGATGAAGTCACGAGGCACGTGACGCAACGCGTCGGTAAGTCATTTCTGGTACGTGGTGACGCACTTCCGGCAGCGGCCATCTTGCTACACCCAGTAAACCATGCAGTACACCCATAGTATGTGGTGAAAGGCGATTGTTTACTGGGGATACATGTGAGTGCTTTACCAACTTTTATCTGCAATTTAAATAACAAGATACTGCACCATGGAAGGTTTCTTGCTTTATACCCTATATATGTTACCTTGAGTGGAGGAGGAGTGAATAAGGTGTGCCGAGCAGAGGTTCTTTTCCTATCCCATGGTCCCTGTGATGACGAGTGGAGTGGAGAGGATCTGTTACTGTTTATTATAGCCCTGTGGCCTTGTGCGGATCAATGTGTGGAGGTGAGCAGGCATTGCTGCCATTTGAGGATTTCTGTTCATTTTTCACTGGAGTGAAGATCACATCAGCACAGATTCACTTGCATGGACTTTATGTTCTCAATTAACATATATAATTTGATTGGTTTGATGTTTGTATACACACAGTGTGTTTTTAGAGATATTGATGAATAGCACGGGAATTTTTTCTTAAAGAATCACTTCACAATTATTTGTATTTTGTCACTTATTCAAGGTCATATTTCACTTATACTTGTGGAATGAGATATTTATTTGTTTGCAATATTCTGTCACTGAGCACTAATGTGTGTGCACGGCTAGTAATATATAATATTTATCTTTATTTAATAGATAGGATTTGATTTGTAGCGCTTCACTATTTACAGTTATTTTGCATCATCACTTATTGGTTTAAGTTAAGTGGCAGCAGCTATAGTTAGGTTTGCGACTTCCGCATTAAGCAAAGGAGGATACTTACTGTCATTACATGTATCCCAGATCATTCCTCTTCCCCTCCGGCTTCCTGAACCGGTCCCTGTGTCTCATACCGAGAGCCTCCGCCAGGAGGGTGAGGCACAGACCGGCACCAGCCAGCAGCCTCATCACACTGGAGGAGAGGGGATCCCACCCCGGGCACTGGTTTCAGCTTGGGTTGAGCATACGGCTGTATTTATGGATACTATGCTCCCTAATGAGAGAGATTTGTGTGTGTGAGACATACAGCGTAGCACAAAGCTATCCTGCTACAGTCAGTCCAGTCTGGGCCTTTTATTTAATCTACTCCAGGAAAATGCAACATATACCATGCAGAAAAGCCTGTTAAACCTATTCCTACATACTCTAATTGTACTCCTGGTGTTATAGTGACATGCTTGATCGGATACAATTTAATGAGAAAATTACATATGCAGTCAGCAACATCTCATTCAGAGTAGAGATGAAGGATGTTTGTTAAACTTCCACCGGTGTATTTAAAAAAAAAAACCCTGAGCTTGGTCTACCTCACATGGTCCATGACCCACCTGAACAAAACCAAACGTCAAGCAAACATGTACTTTGCCCATCCAGGGACAATCAAAATGCCCACTTTTACTCCCCCTCCCCAACAGCACATATTCCATTTCTCTCACTAACCCAATTCTCTGTTCAGCTGATGAAAAGAAGCAAAGAAACACCAAAGCAACCTTCTACAGGGGTGTACTTGCTCTAGCCAGAACTTACATAGAGCTGAGGAAAGTCTTCCCACCCCCATGTGACAATGCTGGGCCAATCATCATGCACCAGCAATGCTCCACAGGAAGAAAAGTGAGTCGCATGCTGTGACGGGAGAGACCTTTGGGGGTGGGGGGACCCCTGTCTCAGCTCCTCCTGTTCCTCTTATGTCTAAGGCACCCTGTGCCTGTTAGGTACAGGGTGAAATGTTCTAATATTGGTGTGGGGATTGTTCATTGTTCTCTGCCATGCAGCTGCATCCCATTGTTCTAGCAAACTATTATGGGATGTAATGTTTGTGTATTGGTGTGGGGGTTGTTCATTATTTACTGCCATGTGGTCCCATTGTTCTATTATGTGTTTGTGTATTGACTTGGTGGGGGGTGTTTCCAGCAGCCCTCCTGATGGGACTGACTGTCTGTTGGGATGTATCTCTGGTTGTTGCTAAATTTGGTTTGCCCCGCCCTGTGTCATTATGCAGGGAGGTGGGTTGTTCCCGTGAATGTTTATATCTTGTGTCTGTGGAAAAATAAAGCAGTCCACTTCCTGTTTTAAGAGGAGTCTGGTGCTGTCTATTTCCTGTATGGTCAGGGTGGTGTCCTTGGTTGGTGTTCGAATGGGGAAGCGGGAGTCTAACGGAAATACCCTAGCGCAGTCGGGGTCCGGTTCCGTTACACATGCCCCTATATCCCTACAAGTACTGGGAATCAACTGCTGAAGAAAGCAGAAAAGTGTGACTTAGAATTAGGATCATTAAGGTAAAGCTGGTTTGCCCTGCATGGCTAATGCACAGGTTGACTTTCATTTCAATATTCAACAGAGTCAAATCATAAGTTAACCACTTCCATACCGGGCACTTTTACCCCCTTCCTGCCCAGGCCAATTTTCAGGTTTCAGCGCTCACACTTTGAATGACAACTGCACGGTCATGCAACACTGTATCCAAACTAAAATTTTATCATTTTGTTCACACAACTAGAGCTTTCTTTTGGTGGTATTTACTCACCGCTGGGGTTTTTATTTTTTGCTAAATTAAAAAAAGCCCAAAAATTTAGAAAAAAAACCCCATGTTTTTCTTTGTTTCTGTTATAAAAGTTTGCAAATAAATAATTGTTCTTCATAAATTTAGGCCAAGATGTATTCTGCACATTTCTTTGGTGAAAATAACCCAAATCAGTATTTATTATTTAGTCTGTAGGAAAGTTATAGAGTCCACAAACTATGGGATATATCTGAAAATAGATCGATCCTGAAGTACTGACGGTCAATCTAATTTCTTGAGGTCCAAGAATGTAGACAGTCCGACGTATTTCATAAGAGGCATGGCAAGTTTTTTGAAGCCGTAATTTTTTGGAAAATGAAATAAAACATTTTTCACAATTTTTTTTTTTTTTTACATACTGTCACCAGTGCAGTACAGAGTCAGCATATAACGGGTGTGGTGGTGTGATCAGGGACACTGACTGGTGAAAGTATTTATTTATTTTTTTAATTTTTTTTATGACATTTTCTTTTTTTTTAAGATTTTTTTTTTCTTATTACACTATGACCAAAGTAGTATGATGTTACCATAATAACACTGTACTACTTTGGGGAAGTGATCAGTATTTTTTTTTTTATATACACAATTTGATTGCTTATAGCAAAGCATTTCTTTGCTATAAGCAAGCATTTAACTGAATGAAATCGATTCATTCAGTTTTTTTTTTGTTGCGATTAGCTGTGATTGGCCATGGCTAATTACATGACACAGATGGGCTGTGATTGGACCAGCCTGTGCATGTGATTGCTGTGACCATTCACAGCTAGACGCACTTCTATACAATGGATGGCATGAAAGGAAGCCATCCATTGTATACAACTGCCATGTGACCGGTTGTGATTGGTCACAGCAGGTCAGATGGTACTGGCAACGGGGGGCCGATACTCCGATCTGTCATCAGCCGTGTCCGAGGTACACGGCCGGTGACAGATCTCGCGCAAAGTGTGATCCGGGAAGGACGTCATATGACTATGTATCATTTGACTATAGGCCGGGCGGCAAGTGGTTCGAAAACTGCATTGAATATCATTACAAAACATTAAATAGTACAAAAGATTAAACATTAACTTGTGGCTTGTAGATTGCCACTTGGCAACAGGCAATAAAACTGGTCACAAGGACTATATAGCAAAAAGCTGCCAATGCTTCCATGTGTTCCAATCTCACTGAAATCTTGTGTACACTATATAGACAAATGTTCGTGGCCACCCTACCAACACACCCATATGAGCTTTGTTTGTAGCCACCCTACCAACACACCCATAAGTGCTTGTTGGACATCCTTTTTCCAAAGCACGAGTGCCAACATGGGTTTTCTCCACACACCCCACCATTCCTTTGTTGCTATAACAGTCTCCACTCTTCTCAGAAGCCTTTCCACAAGAGTGTGTATGTGGGAATCTGCACCCATTCAACCAAAAGAGCATTTGTGAGGTCAGGTACTTATGACGTCAGGTACTTATGGCTCGCAATCAGTGTTCCAATTCACCATTTCATCCCAAAGCTATTCAATAGAATTGAGGTCAGGGCTTCAAGTAGGCAGCGTGAGCTCTTCCATACCAAACTATGGTTTACTAAAACTGGGGAGTGCAAAATCTGGTGCAGCTGTGCATGGTAGCCAATCAGCTTCTAACTTCAGCTTGTTCAATTAAGCTTTGACAAAAAAAATCCTGGAAGCCAATTGGTTTCTATGCAGAACTGCACCAGATTTTGCACTCTACAGTTTTAGTAAATCTCCCCCTGTGTCTTTGCGGAGCTTAATTACTGCACAGGGGCACAGTCATGCTGGAATAGAAAAGAGCCTTCCCCAAATTATCATAAGACTTGTAGTGCACCACTGTCTAAAACGTCTTAGAGTCCGCTCACTCAGCCGCAGTGTGGTTTTCCTGCACCGCGGGTGCAGCGCTACCTCACCGCATGTTTGACGCAAGTTAGCGGAGCTTTCCCATAGAGTTATATTGTGTCCCGCAGTAATGGTGCACTTTCTGAGAGCGCACCAACACTCCTGCACGCTGAATCTTTGGTGCATTTTGAGTGCACTAAACATGCGTGACAGAAGAGAACTTTATGGGAAAGTGCAGCTAACCTGCACCAAACCCACAGGTACACTATTATTATTATACAGTATTTATAAAGCGCCAATGGTTCGCTCAGCGCTGTACATTACAAAGGGGGACAGAACATGTGACAGAACAATACCAATACAATGCAAAACATGAGGGGATTGAGGGCCCTGCTCTTTCGAGCTTACAATCTAGGAGGGAGGGGATGGTGGCACAGGAGGAGATAGCTGTGCGGGATGGGAGTGGTAGGAAGAGTGGAGGAGGTCGGCAAGTTAGCAGGGGGTGGGGTAGGCTTCCCTGAAGAGATGGGTTTTCAGGGTGCGCCTAAAGGAGAGGAGAATAGGTGATAATCTGATGGGTTGGGGCAGGGAGTTCTAGAGGATGGGTGATGCCCTGGAGAAGTCCTGGAGGCGGGCATGGGAGGAGGAGACCAGGGAACTAGAGAGAAGGAGGTCTTGTGAGGAGCGGAGTGTGCGTGCTGGGTGGTACTTGGATATTAGGTCAGTGATGTAGTTCGGGGCAGTATGGTGGACGGCTTTGTACTTCAGTGTTAGGATTTTGAATTTGATCCGTTACGCAATCGGAAGCCAGTGGAGGGATTGGCAGAGGGGGGTGGCGGAAATGGAGCGATTGGAAAGGTGAAACCACACCGTACTGGTGCAAAAGCAGCCTTTGTATGCTGTAGTATTAACAGTACTCTTCACTGGAAACACCTGAAACTCTATATAATAGAGGGGGGTCCACATAGGTTCTGAATCTGTGCTCTATTTCAGGAAAACATGATCATCCGGCATACATGTGACAAGTACAAACTTGACACATTTTATCAATTTAAAAAAATAAAAATAAAACAGGCCCTGGTATCCAAGACTAAGCCCAATCAAAGGAAATATTTAGGGATCGAGTGAGTGCTAAGGCTCAGCTGTCAGAATTCCAGACAATTAAATCTGAATTAGTGTGCCTGTGGTTTTGGAGTAATGATATGCAGCGGGGGGGAGGGGGGGTGTTTAAGGGAAGCAAGACTAATAACTACCCACCTATTAACTAAACTGGGTAAAAAATAACCTATTTAAACAACTGCAGCAGATTTTTGAGTTTTTGTTCATGGCAAGTATCAATTCTAACAGTACTATTATTTTAAAAAGCTGCCCCTACATCTTATATGCCCAAAACAATGAATATATGCTACATTTCTTCTGATCCCTGCCTTACCCAATTAGCAAGCTTGCAAGACGCATCTCCTGGGACAAGTGATACACCAATATATCAGCTGCTGAAAATGATCTGTGTTTTTGCCGATAAACAAACACGTGCCGATAACGGACTTCAAAATTGCGTCCCATTGACTTCAATGCAAAAATGCCCCCTATTGACTTCACTGCAAAAACCTATTTAGGTGTTTTAATTTTATAAAGATTTAATTTTATTTTCTGTCCAAATTTTTGTGTTACTTCCAATAAAAGTAAATTTTACGTTACTGGATTGTACTTTTGAAAAACATATTCATTTAAATTCATGACAGGTGTGCGCCATCTTGGCTTTATCCCAGCGCCTACTTCCTACAAGTCCTGCTTTGCATCAACATCAGAAATAAATGCAAGAACTCAGAAATGGAAACATTTTAATAAGCCTAGACCAGCCTCTCTCAACCTTTTCAACACAGAGGAACCCTTGAAATCATTTTCTAGAAGCAGGGATTCAATGCTAATAATTACTCTATCAAGAGTTCACAGTACATTAGGGCAGGGGTGGGCAACTGTGGCCCTCCAGCTGTTGGTGAACTACAAGTCCCATCATGCCCCTGCCTTTGGGAGTCATGCTTGTAACTGTCAGTTTTGCAATGCCTCATGGGACTTTTAGTTCTACAACAGCTGGGGGGCCACCGTTGCCCACCCCTGCATTAGGATGATGTCACAGAAATATGCTCCTTACATTTGTAGTCATTGGCAAGATCGCCCTTCTTTACAGATAGCTAGAAAGGATCATTGTTGTCAGCGGTTACCTATATGAGAATCATTAGTTGCTCACTGCTCAAGGAACCTCTAGCAATCTCTGGAGGAACTCTACGGTTCCACAGAAACCTGGCTGAGAAAGGGGGACCTAGACACTATATTTTGACAGTATGCAGGATGTACTTGGAGTTATGGAAAAGTTGGAATGGAACTTTAGTTCCACTTAAAGCCTATATTTTCACTGAGTATTTATGCTACCCAAACGCAGAACAAGAGTCATGAAAAGGAAAAAATACTGCTTTAAAGTGGTTGTAAACCTCAGAAATGAAATATGAACAAAGCATATCCCTCTATAGTTTGTACTTGTCTAAATCCAGAGCACTGTGTCATTTCTCTCTGCTGCTTTGTTCCCCTGCTATATGCATGAATCTGACAAGTTTTCCGGACACCAAGAGAAAAATGGTGACAGAGGAAGGACCTCCAGCAGACTGACAGCCTCAGCTCTGTTCCTGTGAGCTGTGTGGAGGGGGGGGGGGTATCCCTTTCTTCCAATCAGCTCTCCGAACTCTCCTCACTGAGCTCTGCAGAGTATAACTTCATCCCCTTTTTTCTGAACTCTCAGGCAAGCTTTAAAATGTAGCACTTTGAAAAGATGTAGAGAAGAGAAGAGACTGGAGATAAACCGGTACAACTTATGTAGGAGGATAAGTTTCATCTCTGTGTATCACCTGAGGCCTGTCACTGCACTGGGTATAGGAAAGCATTTACAACCACTTTAATAACTTCATAAAAGTTATATTGTTTTTATATGTTGGATATTTTATGACAGAACACAGCTGCTTTTGTATGCCAACAGGAATATTTACTCGTTACCCACAACGATCAACTAACTGCCATTTTTGCAGACCAGGTTTGACAACTAAACAAGAATTCTATTCAGCTACCATTTAACAATAAGATTTTCCTTCCGACGCTTCCTATAGCTCCGCCCCCCAGGCTTTTCAGAATGCAGAATTACCTGACTCTGGCATGTTTGTCCTCCAATCGCCCATAGCCAGCATATAATAGGTAGAGACGTATCACCACACATGCAACACAGATGATTCATCTACGCAGACATTTCCTAAAAAGAAAGCAAACACACAATTTAGAAAATGTTTTTGGATGACAACAAATACTAAGCATGCAGTGTGTTTTCCATTGCCAATACTGGTAGTGGTAGGTTCAGCCCTGAGGAGAAATCGGTTTTCTACAGGTTTGCACCATGCTGTCTGTCCAAGAGCCAGTTCTGATGCGTGACAGCCCCTGCTGCCCCTCTGAAAAGTAATCTAGTGTGAATTGCTTTTCAGAGGGTGGTTAACGGGCAGCTGGGAGCAGATATGTCACCTCCTCACTAACTTGAAAATGCTGTCTCAACGTGTCGCAACGGCATGCATTTTATGTGATTGCAATGTGGCCCCATTCACTAGAACAGGTCGCATGCAGCAGAAAGTACACGGGGGTTTAATTTTGCGAAGCATCGCGGCTGCGGCATGTGTAGAGCCCTGAGCAGCTGCATGTCGTTTAGGATGGGGACCTGGTTGCACATCTGAATGAGCCTCAACACCGATTGTTACATACAGCAGGCAATCACATGAGTGCTTTTATCAATACCTCCTGGTCTAGTAGTAGCTAAGCAGGATGAGGCGGGTCCAGGCTGTATTGTGTAGCTGCACTTGAGGGCAGAGCTCTGGCTATGCATTAGCAGAGGTGCCTAGATCGTAAGACTGGCTGCGCAGAATTACATCTTTTTAACAGCCATTTCCCTGGAGTCCTGCTTTAAAGTACTAAAAGGATCCTGCATTCTCATTCTCTCTTCATCCCAATCAAGTTCACTTCTTGGTACCCTTAGCCTAGGTTCACACTACAGCGGTGCGGTAAATTCCATGTGATTCGCACCGGAACCAAACCGCATTCCTGTACAAATCAAATGCCATTTGTGTGCGCTGCAATCAGAGCCATACATTTTGTATGGTTCTATTCACACCGTACCTGCACCAAAAACATGCAGGACCCTTTTTTGGTCCACACTAGAATCGGATCACATGGGTATTCACACCTATGGGATCCGATTCTGCACACTACACTGTGTTTTGCGGACCGATGTCGGGGTGTTAACATACACACCCGCATCGGTTCGTATGAACGTGGTGTGATTTGTGATGCGGTGCAGAATTCGCACTGAAAACGCTTCGAATTCCACACCGCATCAGTGTGAACCAGGGCTTAAAGAGGACCTGTATTATGGACACTGCACCCAAAGAGGAAAACAGACAGCAAAGGACTAACCACCAATATTTCCTAGAGCAGTGATTCTCAACCTTCCTAATGCCGCGACCCCCTTAATACAGTTCCTCATGTTGTGGTGACCCCCAACCATAAAATTATTTACCCAGTAATTATAATTCATGAGTGTCGTTTTACCTCCAATACTGCTGCTTTCAACACAGCAGCGGCTTTCTACACAGCAGCTGCTCTTTACACATCGGAAATATGTGTTTTCTGATGGTTTTAGGGGACCCCTGTGAAAGGGTCGTTCGACCCCCAAAGGGGTCGCGACCCATAGGTTGAGAACCACTGTCCTAGAGGATCCCTGCACCTGATCATTTTACTGCCGTTTTCCACATAGTGGATTGATTTACTAAAACTGGAGCACTCAGAATCCGGTGCAGCTGTGCATGGCAGCCAATCAGCTTCTAAGTTCAGCTTATTCAGTTAAGCTGTGGCAATAAAACCTGGAAGCCGATTGGTTTCTATGCTGAGCTGCACCGGATTTTGCACTCTCCAGTTTTAGTAAATAATCCCTAAATGTCTCTGGATAGAGGCAGCAATCTTGCTAGAAGCAGAACTTTGCTTCCTTGTGTGAGAGATGCCCCCCTGATGACTAGTGATCTGCTAACTTGTGATGTAAGGGCCTCTTCACTCTGGTGGGCACGCGTTATAGAGTGCATAACCCTCATGTGCTTTACAATGCATCACAGCATTTACTTTCCCTTTTCTTTTTTTTAAACTTTATTTAAAGTGAACAAAAAACACTTCATTAACTCCATGCAATGCACAACAATGCATTGTGATGTGACGCCCTGCACTGTAATGCAGTGTGTTGCTTTGCATGACAACGCAGACATGCTGCACTTTTATGCAATACACACATCAGAAGTACACGGCTATTTTTCACAAGAAATTCAAAGCAAAAAGTAGACTTTTCAGTCTACTGCGTAGCCTCCCTGGCGGTATTCCTGAGTGTAGCTCGGGGTAAGGTTTCAGTACCAAAAGCGGTAACCCCGAACTACACTCAGGGAATACCATGCGGCGCTGCCCCCGGCATCTGTTCTTCACTTACCTTGTTCTGCGCTCCCGCGATGTCCCTCCTGCAGTGTCCCCTGTAATGTACTCCGGCAGATGCCGGCATTTGTCATCTGGGTTCCGTCCCCTGCGAGCGTCGGGACGTTACGGGGGATGGAACGGCGGGAAATTTGAAAATGACAAAAAGTGACATTCACTAAATACACTAAAATTTTACATAGTAAAACATTACTGTATCAAACCATTTCACATACATTTTGTCCCGAGTGCTTTGTCCTGTGCCCTGCCTGCATTTTTACTGTTTTTATTGCCTGGAAACTGAGAAACGTCCATGGCGTCCAAAAAGCGTCCCTTTAGGTCAAAATCGGTTTTAGACCAGCTAGAGAACAGCGATAGTAAATCAGAACCACTTGCAGAATTGAGTGATAATGATTCGTGGGGGAAATTCATCATCAGACACTGAAAACGATTCTGCGGCTTTGCTCAGTGATGTGTGAATTTGCCTCTGTATTTCAAATTTCAGTGTTTTTTGGTTTGATTATATTATTGAATTCAATTTTTTATTTATTATATATATTTTTTTTATGATTATTTATTAAATTATAATTTATGATTTCGTGTTTCAAATTTTAACATACCCGGGATGTTTAATAGACTCTTGTTCGGACAGATTTCAGTGAGTTATTCCTAAAAATTACAGGCCTACAATAAAAAAAAAACATATTTCCATGCAAAAAAGTGTACAGCTTTCAGCACAGAAATATGGACATAATCAGACCGCTAGGGAGGTTAAAGAGTAACTCCAGTTTTGTTGAGATTTATGTTGGGTGATCTATGTACAATTCAGGAATTTTAACAACCTTTGTTGCAGATGTCTACATTTTGTTATCCTGAAGAAAGAGCTGTTTGTCTGTGTCCATGTGAGGCTGAAGGGGAGTGATTTTACAACTATCAATCAGCTGCTGCACCGGCAGGGCTCTAATGAGGAAATGGGCAGTGTCTGCATCCCTTTAGACAGGATTTCCATTTGGGAATATCTCGCCAAAAAGGATATTTTTGTTGCAGGGGTGTCCAAAATTGGACTTGTATCTTAGTGCAGAGTTCTAAGAGAATCAGTGAGCCAATCACACAAGCTGTAAAGTACATTTCTGGGGGGCGTTCTGTACACCAATCACTGTATAAAACGCCTCCAGGTTGCCATATTGCTGCACATTTTACAGAAAATGACAGCAATGCAGACAGAAAAGGAAAGGTAATTTTTAATAACATTCAATTACAATATGACTCGTGTCACAGTTGTATACACTATTTTTTTATTTGCTATTTTTTTTCCAACGAAAGTGGAGTTACCCTTGAAGCCAAATAAACATTTCTTTATATTATTTAAATATAAAAGAGTGAATATTTGCTAATTTGAGTGTACGTTAACCCCACAAACCTGGCTGAGCTTTATATGGAAGCTTCAAGTCGGATCTCTGTTTTCTCAAATTGTATTGTATCTGTAATGTCTACCTTCATTTTGTAAAGCGCTGCGCAAACTGTTGGCGCTATATAAATCCTGTATTATTATAATAATAATCTCCAGTATGCACCCTCCAATGTATGTACCTTTCAGCAGGGCAATACAGTAAATGCACAGCAGAATGGTATACCAAGGGGGAATATCAGAGCTCCAATATCATTTTAGGCATAAGCTCCATGTACACGGGACGTTTGGAAAACACTTTTGAATGATGGAAACTGACTGCTGGAAAACGTAGGTTAAAAAAAAACGTCTGTTTAGCCACTTTTATGAGTGTTTGCGTTTAGAAGCGTTTTTTAAAGATGACCTCAGGAGACCTCCCAGAATGCCCAGAATGCACTGAAAAACAGTAAAAAATTAACTATTTCAGAGATTTTGAGAGACGCAGAGAGAGAGCAGAAGCAGTATTTGTTGAGATTAGCTGTCTTTTTTGTGGTGTTTGGATGTGTTCCAGCTCATTTCTGTGCAGAAATTATTGCAGCAGCATCTAAACATTTTCTTTCATGCGAAACCTCAAAGTATGGTGTACCGGGTCCAAATGAGTACCGGGAAATCACTTTGCATGCATTTTTCATGATGAAAAAAAAAGCTCTGGAAAGCATCTGGAAATGGAAGAGTTAAAAAAAATTTCCAAACGCAAACACTTATAAAAGTGGTTAGTCACGTTTACAAGCATTTGAAACGCTGATAAAATCTACTTTTTTTTTTTTTTTTTTTTTTTAAGTCCGCAAACGTGCAACTATAATGAAAAAACCCGTAAGTGTTCACAAAAAAAATGCAAGTGCAAAACACCACACGAAAAAGTGCACTTAGGGGTGTGCTGTGTCCTACCCCTAAAGGGGCTTGGACCACTTACCCTGATCCCCCGGGGCACGAAGCTCCTGACAGGGACAAGGTTCCCATTTGGTCCTCCTGGCCAAAAGGCCTGGTGGACCACCATTCCCTATGCCCAGCCGAAGCCGGACATCCAGTACTAGGCAAAGGGGCTCTCCCGAAGAGAAAGCCCCCTAGGGATCAGGGGAGGAAGGAACCAAAAGGCCACACATCCTCCCCCTAGACTTCAGGGTAGGCCCGAGGACCCACACCCTCCATCCATGAAAAACACACACATAAGTAAAGTAAAAAGTGACAAACGTGGGAGTGCATAATAAATAAATAGAATAGAAAAAATAAAAAAGTGGTACCGTGCCGAAT